GTGCATATTCTCTTACATATGATAAGTCAACATTGAAACACCTGCGGCTTTTGGTCAGGTGCGGCTAATGTATGTACAAAACAGGATTTTCCCCTGATTTTAGCTTGTGCGGCTAATATTTAGGTGCGCTTTGTAGTCCGGGAAATACGGTACTTTGGTTTTCCACTTTAACATCACATTAACATTATAGCGAGTGATGAATTATGAGCTTCCTTATCAATTCTCATTTGGTCCGCTTTGAGAATCGCCACCAGCTCTAAGCAGCATGTCAAAGACACTACATTCATGCAGATTAAATCAAATTGCATGCTGTGTGGTCAAATTTAAGTGCATTTTGGAGGTATTTCTCCTCTTTGTTGTGATCAGTGTTGGAGTCGTTACTAAAAAAAAATGTATTACATATTTTGCAGGGAACACTTTTCAAAAAAGTAATCCTGTAAGCTCCTTACTCCCAGGAGAAAGTAATTTGCAACAAAACTTTTTACATTGCTTTTGCATTTTTTCTGACTATATCCTTTTTCTGTCCATTGAGATTGTAATAACTGAAAATAGAAACATCCTAATAAAAAATCTATTAAAATATGACTATCAACTGGGTCGTTATAGCAAAAGCTGTAATGGTCCACTTGGGAATAAATATTTTTCCATAAAATGACCTGAAACTCATTGCTTCACTCATTGCTTCACACCAACACAAATCTCTATCCTAATGAGGACATATAATGATCTTTCTTTGTTCAATTTGGGGATAAACACAAAGCTGACAACGCAAGGAAAAGATGAAAATTGGCACAAAGCAATTGCCATGGGAATTTGACTGTAGAAGCTTGAACAGGTAGAAATGGATTGCTCATCAGTTTTTACCTGTTGAAGTTCAGGCTCTGGCTGCTGGTCTAGATTCATCATTCACTAAGCTTTAACATCCCTATGAGTTCTTGGCTAGCTTGGCTTTGTTATGCTGTTTATGCAGGTGCTTGCACATTTTATTTATTAACTTATGAGTTTCATTACACAGCGACTTGGTATTCCTATTTCTTATTTATTTAATACATATTGAATGTGGTTGATAATGTAATTTTTGTATGTAAAAGTGGTGATTCTGCAAATGACATTTGACTCCTTGCACACATATGCACATTAGTCAAGTAAATCTCACTAGTCCTCTGATTGGGTGTTGGAATGTTTGAGGCATTTCCTTTGTGTATGTATAGGATGTATAGGAATGAATAGATGCTGCCCATATATGTGTTGAAGGTTGGATGGATTTAAATATCGTCATTTAATATATATACCAACTGTGAGTGAAACAATATGTAAGAGTTCCTGTTGATTGTCTTTGCAGTACTATTATATTATCCAGAAATGTACATTTGCCTTTTGCTGTTTTTAATTATTGTTTACAAATTGGTAAAAAGTTCTTACATTTAGGTAGAACATTATCAATCTGAGGTATGTGGCTTAACCAAATTTGAATCATCGTTAGCCAGCCCTAACTATATGCTTTAGCAAAAAGGTAAGTTTTAAGCATAATCTTAAAAGCAGAGAGGGTGTCTGTCTCCTGAATCCAAACTGGCAGCTGGTTCCACAGAAGATGGGCCTAAAAGCTGAAGGCCATCAGCAGTGTATTTTCCACTGGCATCCTGTTGGTCAGTGAATTGATCCAGTACAGTCATGAATCATGCCTTCTTTGGCTTAAAAGCACAATAAAAATGATGGCTATAAATCCCCTTTTTTTAATTATTTCATGTTTAAGTTTTATCTAGAGAAAAAGTGTAAGGTTTAACCAATGCCAAGTCCAGTGATAGATTAGAGCAGATATGTTTGTATGGCTTTTTCCTTGCACAGTAGTCAAGGGACATTGTGACATTAGAGTACGTCCACTGCAATATAAGAAAATTTCAAACTTCTCTGAGTATGGATTGTTGGGTGGAGACCTGGACAGTGTTTGGGTTTGCAGTAGTGTTGTTGGGAACTGTGGAGGACTGCATGGGCTGTTTCAGCTCACCAGACAAGATGATGAAAAAATGGTCTTGTTTGAACCAAGAGGTGATGTCACTGGATGAAAAGTTAGGACGTAGCAATATGAAATACTGATCCCTAAAATTAAGCAATGTTTGTTTGAATTATCAAATGAGTTGGAGTAAAGGGTGCAAAAGTATATTTACATTTTACAACTACCAAATAGAGCAGCATAAAACAGAAAAAGTAAAAGAAACTCATATTTATAACAAGAGAATCTGTGTAAATGTGTTATTATAACTGATTCTGTAAAACTTCATTAAATATCTTCAGCATTTAAGCTCCATTCTTTCAAAATATATTCATAAATCGACAGTGAAATTACAATGAAACATGCAAATTACAATATTCTTTTCACACGCAAAGCAGTTTTATTTGTACTGAAGCTTCTTTGTCTATATTTCACTGCTGATCCATTAAAAGTGAGAAGTTCTTGGTAAATGCAGTGTTTGTGTGTTTAATTAAATATTAAGTGTTTTCGTTTTTGCAGTAAGTAGCTCTAAAACTACATTAATTGATTTTTTCCACTGCTTAAGACAGCAAACTCTTCTTCTTCTTTCCACTGGTGTTAATCATGTGACATAACTGCGAGCTTGATGGACCCTGTGGTGAAACTTAATTGTTTTATTGTCTGGTATTAAAACTTGATACTGTTTGGCTGCATATTATTGAATACTTGGGTCAATGCTTTCAAATCATTAAGATAATTGAAGACATTTGTCAATGTTTTATTTTCTTAAGTTGCAGACTGATTCCCTGAACGTGAACACAGAGTTAGCAGGACTCTGCTTGTAGAAACAAGGAGTGTGGTGTGAAACCTCACTAAAACTAAGGTTGTCTTCACAAAAGCAGAAATTAACATGTAAAGTGTGATTTACTCTTGTATTTAGGTTCAAATGAAACAACAAAAAATCCTGGTGTGAGCAAAAGATAATAATTCAAATTTATTCTGCTTATGGCACAACTCATATTTTGTTTACCCTCTCTGTGCATTTAATGTTGTTGCCCTTTCATGTTTTTCCAGATCTGGAGAGTCTTTGCTGCAGTCTGCTGTCAGAGTGGAGGGTGCAAAACTACAACTGCTGAGTCTAAACTCCGATCTAAATGGCCTCTATCAGTGTGAAGCATCTAACGCTTATGGAAGTAAACACGGTTGGCTCCATGTGCATGTGGCATCAGGTGAGGATTTAGCTGTGCAGTTTGTCTAAATCTGTCTGGATTTGTTTCTGAGTTTTAAATTTAAGGTTTTGTGGATGTTTTGTGATTGTGAAGTTATTCTGTTTTATTTTTCTGTGGATTTCGTTAAAAAGGAATAAAAAAAGAACTTCAGTATCTAGACATATATTAAAATGAATGACTGAATATTAAAGCAATGCGCAAATGAGAGGTTTGAAATCCATTACTTCTCCTACCCTGTGAAAGGTTCTTCCAAGTTCATCTTATTTGATTTTGTATCCTAATACTTTTCAGTACAAGGAAGTTTCGAATTTGAAATATAAAACTAAATGTTAAGGAAGTCAGTTATTTGTACCCATTTTGGTTATTTGTTTATTATAAACTGGTGTTGTGCTACCAGAATCATAATATCTCTGAGGGGATTAATATGTTTCTATTCTATTCTAGTGAGAACGAACAGTAGATCACCCTAATCTTATTTTATTCTTCCTTCTTGTGTTTATTTAGGAGCATGCTCTGCTGCTTGGGCCTTATTTCTTGTTTTGCTTTTCCTGAGTGTTGTGGGGACGGCAGCATGGTGCTTTTATAAATCTGGACATTTTCAAAGGTGCTCAGAATAATAACTCTGCATACACCTAATATGTAGCATAATATGTAGGACGTCAGATATAAAAGTATACACACACATAATGAACAGCTTATACTGGGAATTTTTGGGAAGTTAAAACAAAAAAAAAAAATTGCAGTTGTGCAGATTCTCAGGTTTAATTCAGTCAGTTGGTTGTTTTAGGGTTTGTCTTTAATTCCCGTTAACGTTAATTCCACTATCCCCACTAGTGGGGATAGGTTAATTGGTTAATCCAAATTGCCCATAGGAGTGAATGTGAGTGCGAATGGTTGTCTGTCTCTGTGTGTTGGCCCTGCGACAGACTGGCGACCTGTCCAGGGTGTACCCCGCCTCTCGCCCTATGACAGCTGGGATAGGCTCCAGCGCCCCCCGCGACCCTGAACAGGATAAGCGGACGCGAATGGATGGATGGATGGATGGATGGATAACGTTAATTCCCTCAAAAACATCAAAAAGCAGTTTTGTAAATGAAATAGGTAAAAGGTATGGAGAAGATTGCAACTGTGACATTTGCACCTAGAAGCTCCCAACATGTGATCAAAGGAGCTCCCAGTGTAAGTCAAACAAGCTGTATCAAAAGAAATGAGTCAAAGAGAGCTCAGGAACATTGGGAGTGGTACATTCTTTGAATAGCAAAGTGTATTAGTTGGCTCAGTAACAACAAAAGAAGTTCAGGCTTTATATAGAAAAGAAATTTATTAAAAAAAAGACAGACTAGTTATGTAATAGCTTTCTTTCTATTAATGAAGCAGATGGAAAAACAACAAGCATTAAAATTACGGGAAGAAAATTAATGGAAAATGATTTTTAAAAAAAAGTACTACATCCTCTTTCATAAAGAAAAAATAAATGAAGCCAACTACAGTAAAAGATCACAAAGAAGGAAACTCATTATTTGAGGATATGAGAGTTCAGACTTTCACTTGTTGCCTGCAAAGGTTTCAACAAAGTATTCAGACAGCATTTCATGATTTTTTATTTGTTACATTGTTTTTAGATTTCAGCTGCAGATAATACAGTATTTTATGTGCAAGCCTTGAATTAACCTCCTAGGACCTGGCTTCCACATATGTGGACATCACATTTTGGGTTGTCTATACCAAAAAAACGTACATTTTACTTAAATTCTTAAATCAAATAAAGGGCCTGATATCAACTTACGAGTATGTTCACTGTTCTATCAAAACTTAAAACAAATTCACATGTGGATCTCATTTGTTTCTCAGAAAGAAAAATCATGTCAAAAACATTCTGGTAATTCTTTGTTCTTACATTCATCAGGTCCCAATCAGAACAAATAGTAAAGAGAAATACAAAATGCATGCCATGAAAGAGTTCAGGTCTTAGAAGGTTAAAACTAATAGTCTGCAGTTGTGTTGCTGTACAATGTTGAAACATTGTAACTTGTATCAAGTTGAATAGATGTTTGCAACATTATTAGAAGCTGAATACTTCTTATATATTCTGAATCATCTGCTTCAGCATCCTCTGACAGCTGTGGGCTCATGTAATGGACCACATCTGGACTGAAGGCTCCACCAGCGTGTTCCAGGGTCAGCTGGTAGATGAACAGGTTGAGGTGCTTTTATATTCCTGAATCCATTTTTTAAAATTCATATATATGAATGTTTCTGTCTTGCTGTTACTATACTTTATATTTGCAGTAATTACAGTATTTTAAAAGCAAAACATTGTTAATTGACTCCCACTCTGCCACAGCAGTTTGGATGTGGCTGTTCCTTTGTTTTGATGTGTAACAACATTAATGGCAATTGAGAGCTGTGCTTGTGTTCCTACCAAGAGTGTGAACTGCTTTCATCAGAAGCTGTATTAATGTAGTTACTGTAAATTCATTTGTTTATTTTCCCCCACCTGGATATTAGTATGTCCCTTCATTAAGGGTAACAATGTTAATGTTACGTTTTAAGTTTACAATCTAATGCAAGGACAAGTTCTGACATATCAACCATTCATATGTAACAACAGACGTATTACCAGTAAACTACAGAAGCCCATGCAGACAGTTTAATACAGCACTCAGAAAGCACAAACATTCACACCAGACTCAGAAAAGAGGTTGGTTGGGAGCACCTCTGCCACTGAGCTGCAATTTAAACTATGGAGCCTCCTTCCTGATTTCTTTTCTTTTTTTGTCACATTTAAATGTTTCGGATCATGAAACAAATTTGTATAGCGACATCATGTCCTAGTACAGATCATTATGTAAATGGTAAATGGCCTGTATTTGTATAGCGCTTTACTAGTCCCTAAGGACCCCAAAGCGCTTTACACAACCTGTCATCCACCCATTCACACACACATGAACGCAGCTACATTGTAGCCACAGCCACCCTGGTGCGCACTGACAGAGGGGAGGCCACCGGGCCCTCTGACCATGTATATTATGTAACCGGGTTCTGTCACTAGTTAGCTAACATAAGCTAATGGAAGTCTATTTGTCGCAACCAACCAACCAACCAACTCAACTGATGTGATATTCTGTACTGGCGCTAATCAAAAACTTTAAGCACTTATTTCTTCAATCCAGACTGACGGGCAGTGTTAATTCTATGTCAGTTTTTGAGAGCAGGGCTCCATGATGTAAATTAGACTCTATGCATGTAGTGTTTCATGTGCACTTTAAAACAGTGGTTCAAAATCTGTTGGGCATACCCTGCTGGAAGTCATGCTGTAAAACCATGGATCACCAGGGTGGGTGAGGGGGTTTGGGACTGAGGTGAAATAAAGGTAAACTGATGTTTTTGTATGTTTGTTTGTTGGTTGATTAAATGTAAATGTCAGCAAAACAGAAGTCTGATTATGTGTAAATGCTGACCTTTAACATTATATCATCTTGCACATTACTGGTTGTTAATGACTGATGACAGAAACTGCACAAGGATGAAACTTTAAGAGTTAGGGCATGGCAGAAGATGTTTGAGAAACACTTTCCTAAAGCATTACACAGTTGGGCTCGTGTGTGTAAAGTTTTTATCACAATTAATTTTATATCATATATCTCACACTGGAGTTTCAAATGTGGCAGCTTTTTGTAAAACATTAAATCATTAAAGCATGGTGTTTTTTATCTGCATATTAAATGGATCAGTCTACATGTACATTACTTTTAATATGTTCTTTAATGAAAATTTTAAAATGGAAGTTTGTCTTTGAATTGTTTTTATTATTTTGTGTAACATTACTGATTTTTATGTAATCTATTTCACTGTTGTCTGCAACATGCAAAAAAAACTAAATGTGTGCCCTAGTTTTATTCTTCTTAAGTAATGTACGAGCATTATTTCCTTTGTATATGTGTTTTAATCTATTTAGTGCTTCTACTCTCTGATTTATATTTGTTGTACATTTTGTGGGGCACCTCTCACATAAATGTGTTTTGAAAATGGTTTGGTTGTCCTCTTTTAACTGTTCACCCCTGAATAAGGGGATAGTGGATGGACGGAAGACAATAGTAGGACCAGGAAAAGACAAAGCCTGCTGAGACTGCTCTGCCACTATATCAACCAAACAAAAGGAGAGGCATAAGGATTACTCACAGGTCTCATGTAAAACTCAGGCAAAGCACACCACAGTACCTCACTGTTCTCACGGCTGGTCCAGAACACTAAGCTACTTAACACTGACCTGTAAATCATTCATGCATTAAACAAAAGGCACCAAACTCAGGAGATGAGCCAGTGTTGTGTCTACAAGTAATAGATAGCTTAGCAAAGAACCAATTTTAAATGATCGCATGACCAGTTAATCATACTTACATCCTTCTTCTGTTTCATCCCAGCTCCAATTTAAAAACAACAAACAAACTGTGTTTAGTACTTTATAAGTGTCACAAACAGACGGGCGGATGGTGATGATGAAATTAGTACAAGTAGGAAATAATATAAACATCTCATCATTCTCATCATCATTTTTAGCATTAAGTATTATAGTCAATAACACAATAAAATAGAATGTTAACCATAGGATAGAAGCAGATAATACAAAAAGGAATAGACAGAATCAAAGCTACAGTGGACTGGATCTCATCAACACTGCCCTCTAGTGGACACAAAGGCAAAAAACACAAAAATCACCTTATTAGCCCGTTAATTGGCCGTTTTTGACAACTTTCGATTTTACCTTTATATTTCACCTTTAAAAACGATTTACCTTGAATTGTTTGGTATCATTTTTACAGCAACTTCATGTGTCATGTTTTAAAGGGTTTTTTTTTTCATATTGTATTTATACACTAGAACTACAAACAGAAAAATCCGAGTGGAAAAAAGTCAGATTTTTTGTATAAAAACCACAAACATGTTTAAAGAATCGTTTTCAGAACCTGAAATATAATTTGTAAATTTCAAAAATATATGTCCATATTTTCCAAATAACAAAGTTATATTCAGCTACTTACACAAAAAGGTAATGCCTCGGGTGTTTGTTTGTTTTTTTTGTACAACTATTTACAAAACAATCAGGTGTCACAATAAGACGTCTCTCAAATCATGAAATGTTTCAATTCACCTTTTTGGACAGCACCTGTGTTTGTGACAGTTTAACAGGAATGGCTTCAGCTCTCCTGCTCTGGGGACATTAGCGGTTTTTGGCGACATGGGCAGTTGCCCAGGGAGTGGCATTGTGGCGCTGTTTCCCATTCCCTGGTTACTCCCCTGTAAGCCCTGTGTTTGCCTTTGCTCTCTGTCGCGTCATACCCTCAACATGCTGTGTGTTTATGTCCAGTGTTCCAGTGTTCCAACACCTCTGTTCCGAGTCTTGTTTTGTTTTTGCTGCGTTTTGAGTTCCACTCCCGTTTTGAGAGTCCTGCATTTTGGGTCCCTTTTCCTGCCTACCTGCCTGCCACACAGCACAGCCATGACAAAATCAACAATTGACAATCATTACGTAATACTGTGCTGAACACAGTCCAAAAGATTCAGTAAGCTACATCAGTGTCTACTGTTTACAATTATAGCCAAGTGGCTTACAAACATAAACAGAAGTTTTCACTATCCCTACTAATAAATGTTATCTTGTTGTACCTCTGTTGTGGTCTGTGCTGTCCTCTATGCTGCATGCTGGGGCAGCAGGTTGGGGGTCACAGATGCCAACAGACTAAATAAACTGATCCACAAGGCCAGTAATGTGTTGGGGATGGAGCTGGACTCCATTAGGGGGTGTCTGAGAGGCAGATGTTGTCCAAGATAAGGACTATCATGGATAATACCTCCCACCCATGCCATGACATACTGGCTAACAGGAGCACGTTCAGTGAGAGACTGACATTACCAAAAAGCAGGAAATCATTCCTGCCTGTGGCCATCTCCCTGAGCGACTCCTCCATCTAATACACTATAAACACTGCAGTTACACCCTTTTTACACACACTCTTTTCTACTCTGTAATATTCTTGTCAATTTTGTTTATATTTATATTTATAATCCCCTCTGTTAATCCTTGATATTTATAATTGAGTGATCTGTATATATTACTGCTATTTCTTAAATGTGTAAAATCTGTAACATGATGTAGCCTATTGTTTGGAGCTTAGTCTGCTACTGTTACTATTTTTTACAATTTCTTCTTGGAACAACTGTAACCCACATAATTTCTTTAGGGATTAATAAAGTATTCTGATTCTGATTGTTTCAGGATACCTGCCATTATCCAGTGACACATCTGCTTACCTGTATCATTTGCTCGTTTCTCCTCTTCTTTTCTCTTTTTTCTAAAGGGCTTTTTTTTTTTCTTGTAGCTGTATTTGTAGCTGTAATTGTGAAACTGGTGTTTTACCTTATGCAAATCTGCTTCTTTCTTGTTTCTATTTTTACGCTGAGGTCTGAGCTTTAATAGTGTTTCATGCTCTTTACAGGTCTCCAGGTGATTGATGGAAGTGTGACAGTGGTTCAAGGAGGCACTGCTATCTTACCGTGCCAAATCATCCACACTGATGATGATTTGACGCAGATTACCTGGCAGAGGACAACCAGAGAAAAACCTCATAATGACAATTTTATCACTGTCCAACCAAGGGAAGGACCACAGTTTGTCAATGGACAGGATGATCGATTTAAATATATCGGGAATTTTAACAACAAAAATGGAACTCTCCAGTTATCCAGTGTTGCACTGAAGGATGAAGGCAGATACACGTGATCTTTTTCCCAATTCTTACATTGCTAAAAGCCTTACGTGTTGTAAAGACAAAACATCCTATGTACCAAACTTTGGTTCGACTCCTTACATCATTAAATGATGTAAACAAAGGCAGTTTTACTTTGATGTTTCACAAAATCCTCAAATGACTAAAACTAATCAACTCCAGAAAGTTTGTTTTGGAGTTTGTTCTTCTTTTGTTTTGTTTTTTTAAATGAATGGGAGTGAAATATCCCAGATCTCATGACTTTGCCTCCTGTTTGTCACACAGTAGCATGTTGTCACAATAGATGGGAAAATACTTTCTGAAAGACAAAAACATCTAGACTGATTTAAAAAAGAGCATTGTTTCACAATTATTGCTAAAGACTGAATCGTGGCCTGTCCCATACAGCATCAGCCTCAGTCCCAAAAGTTTGTCGAGTTCGGATCGAAGATGTAGGAGACAGAGGCGAAACATTATTTTCATGTTATTACTGTGTCCTCAGTTCAGGATTAACACAGCTGTCTTTCTGCTCTTGCAGTCTCTCCCACAGAAGTGAACATCAGAGCAAAATCTGAGGACTCATTTGAGTGTGTGACAGAAGCCAACCCAAGTGCAAATTTTACATGGAGCAGGTAAAGTAGCTTGAATAACAGTTTCAGCTGAAACATTCATTTCATTGGTTCTTTTTGTTTGTCTTTAAACCAACATGGTGGCAAGCAGCATGACACAAAACATCTGGGAGTGTGAGAAACGAAGATCACGGACCAGAGTAAGAAGACCTACAGAGAGATCAAGAGGTCAGTAACAGTTAATTTGTTCATATACTTCATAGCTCACTTTTGTTTCTCCCACAGTTAAATAGGTCTCTGAAAAAAAATGTTGGGATTAATTATATATTTTAATGTTAACTACTGTTATGCAGTTACTGGAGACTCAATTATAGTTTTAGTTGTGTACAAGGCATTTTATTACATCTATCTTACTTGAATGAGCTGAGCTACAAGAAAAAAAAAACATTTTATTAATGTGTTTGTTAAGTGTTATAGAAGTTTAAATGTTCTTTGTTAAATCTGCTGACACTGAAAGTATTTGCATTTTCAGTTGAAATTAAAGACAGGTCTAAACAAATGCTCCGTATGATCCCTCAGGAATCTCTCTGACAGCAAAGATGAACATTATTTGGACTGAAGGCTCCACCAACATGTCATTTTAAAGTCAGCTGGTAAATAAACAGATGAAGAACACATGCCCCTGCCTGAACAGGACACCATACGTGACACGTGAACCTGCAACAGGGTCTGGACCACAGACAGATTAACTTAAAAGCACGGGGATGTCAGACAAACATAGGAACATGACCGCAGAAACAAAGGGTAACAAAACAGGGAAACTAGACACAAAAGGAAACTCATAACTTAACAGCCAAGAAGTAGAAAAAATAAACGCAGTTGCATTAAAGAAAACAAAAGTCAAGACTAACTAATACAGAAAATAAGAACTAGAAAATGAAAATCTCTTAAATTTAAAGGAATGAATCACAAGACCATAATATATTCAAAACTTGGTTGAAGACCCACCATGACACATGCATGTTTTAAGATTGAGTTTCTTTCATATGATTCAATTCAGTTCAATTCAATTTTGTTTATGGAGCGCAAAATCACAACAACAGTCGCCTGAAGGTATATACCTTGTATACTGAACCTCCCCCAAAGAAAAAAAAAACAGGCCTACAGCTTGATTAGTTTTAAGTATATTAAAACACATTAATAGTATAAATCAGCTCAAATAAAAAGCTTGAAGAACATGGTTGACTGTCAATATCAACAGTGTGAATTAAAATGTAATGAAAAATTACAGTGGACTGGTGGAAAAGCAGCTGGTTAAACATACTGCCATCTCCTCTCATAGTCGTCAGAGCTTGAGTTTAGACTCTTAGTCTTAGTTTAGTCTTGAGTTTATCTGTATTTCTAGTTCGCAGTGTCTTGTTTGATAATAGGTTGCGTTCATGTCGTTGTGTCGTCTCTGTGTCTTGTCCTCAATGTCTCACTTTAAAATCAGGTTAATAAGCATGGAGACAAGACTATCTGTTTCCCCAGTCATGTCTCTCGCTCTGTCTCTTCACATCTCTGTGTCCGTGTCTCAGCGTTTGTGAGTTCCTGTTTACTTTGGTAGTCGTCATCTCATGTGCCTCGTGTTCTGCTTTGCTTCCCCCATCTCACCATGTCTATGTTTCTCTGGCTGTGTTCCCATGTTCCCTGTGTCCACTTCTCCTAACCACCTTCCTGTGTATATATTGTGTCTGTCTTCCCTTATACTTGTACGTTATGTTCAAAATGTGATCATGTTAGTTAGACAGTTTGTATTTAGCTTCCTTTTCATTAAAAGGCTCTCCTTTGGCTGAAACTCCTCTGTGCTGCCTCCATGTCTGCAATCCTGGGCCCTCTTTCACCACAGCAGCAAAACAGAGAGCTGCAATCTTTTGGAAGATTGAAACAAAAAACACAGGTTTCGGGAACCACTGTCAACAGCTACCACAGGATGGCAGTAATGTAAAGGATGGATTCAGACAGGTGGGGAACTTTATAGCAACACTGTTCAAGATGAAAGGAGAAAAATTGTTTTACTTTGGTACATTTTAATTTATGTGTATTTTTCGATTTGACAAGGCAAGCACTGTTTGCCTTTCTTGTCCTGTCTGCCATGTGTTAAATTACAGTAATGTGAAATGATTCCTGCTTAATGATAGAAATACAGTGAAATATTTTAATTATTTGTTCACTGATTTTCTCTAATTTTGCCTGTCGTTGCCAAGACCTTCAGGATGTAGCTTTAGCTGTCTCTTCCTGTTGAAGAATCATAAAAAGGTTCTTGAAATATTTACTTGGTTTCCGTTTCTTGTTTACACCAGTCAGAACTACTTTCATCAGTTGTATTAGTAATGTGGTAACTGTAGACTCCGCTGGTTAGTACGACCTTTCCTTAAGGATACAATGTCAAATTTTAAGCTTATAATATACAGTACCATGGAAATATAGACACATCACTCAGAATTTTACATTTTGTCTTTTTTTTGCACATTATGTATTTGAAAAGCACCATGACACTATACAGGCACTGTGTGAATGCAGTTGTAGCTGGTCTGTCTGGTTGTGCTGATTGAAGCTCAGTTTTTCTGTCCTATTTTCCTCTCAGTGGTAAAAACTGTCTAAATTCTTTCATCTTTAATTAAATGATCAGTGTGGCTGCTTTACCAGGTGTATCAATTGAGTTTAACATCCAGGCATTCGTGAAAACAGATTTTATTAAATTTAACAGAGTTAGAAGTTAGCAGAGAGTTAGCGCGCTAGTTTCCATCTAAATATAATATACCATGTTCTGACTGAGAGATTTCTGAAACAAAATAAAACTTCCAGATCTGCTATCACTTCCAAAATAAATGAAGACAGGAAAGTAAACTGCAGTGATGTTTGTAGGGTTACTGAAGTTGGACTAGCTGGTATATAATGGTGTACTAGGTGATCGCTTGTGACACGGCTATGTTAGCATAATATAAACACATTGAAGCTGGAGGATGAATTTTTTTCCACTCCATAAAAGTTAATGTGAGGGTTAGGGGTTAGGGACAAATGTAATCGCATAGCAGGATGCTGGAAACAGACCAAACGTCAGTCAGGAGAAAAACTAAGATAATCCATCCACAATACGAGGTTAGTCATTAATATACTGCTGCATGGGCTGGGCTGTAGTTGCATTGTAAGGGTTAAAAAGACTGAGCTTTAAAATGATTAGCGGTAATAAAAAAAGAGAGGCCGACAGTGATCACTGACTGTTTTTAGGGGGTTGTTGAGATTAAATAGAACAAGATACAAAGCATTAAAACATGTTAAAAACACAACGCAGAGTAGTTTGAGCCCGGAAGCAGGATTGATCACGTCATCACTTAAAGACCAGATAGAGCTTTCCTAGTGGACTTCTGTGGAACTGAAGCCCACGCAGATAGTAGTTATAATGCAGCACTTAGACCACACAACATTCACACAACACAAACCCACTGAATGCATTAATCAGTCTGTCTGATGACAAATTGCCACATAGTGCACACTATGTAATAAATAATACAGGCCTGCCTTTTGTGTGTTCCTGACAGTGAATGCACAAGTTTTGCACTAGTAAAATTTAATATAAAGCAACTTAAAGGGATTTTTAAAAAGTTTACTGATACAAGATGCTTCTCTATTGGATTTATGTTTACTATCATTATTATCTTTATTATTATTAACTTTAAGAAAATTGAAGCTTGGCTGCTGCAGATATTTTTATTTTAACTAAAAAACACAATAAGATGTATTTTCCATGAGTAGTTAGGAAGATCAGGTTTCTCTGATCCATCATTGATCTGATCAGTATACTGACATACAAGATACACAAGGGAAGTGGACACAGCCGGGGCAAACAAGCACAAGTAGACAATCAACACAATGAGGCAGAGGAGGAATAACGAATAATAACACACAAATATCACCAGAACGCATACACTACACATAAGAGGAACAGAGAAAACACTTCTCTGAAATATGAAGTTAAAAACCTAAAGAATAAGTAAACTAAGATTATTTATTATTTTGCGTGATATTAATATTTGGTAAATGGCCTGTATTTGTATAGCACTTTTCTAGTCCCTAAGGACCCCAAAGCGCTTTACACTACATTTAGTCAGTCACCCATTCACACACAAATTCACACACTGGTGATGGCAAGCTACATTGTAGCCACAGCTGCCGTGGGGCAGACTGACAGAGGCGAGGCTGCCGGACACTGGCGCCACCGGGCCCTCTGACCACCACCAGTTGGCAACGGGTGAAGTGTCTTGCCCAAGGACACAACGACCGAGACTATTTATTTAACAATAAGCAGAACTACAAAACTTGAAAGTCCAAAAGCACAAAACACAGTTTTAAAGACCCAGGAGAATGACCCTAATATCATATTTTAATCTTTATGTTATTGTTTTTTTTCCCTTTTTTGTCCTCATCCAGACCTTTAACTCCATACACTCAACTCAGTTGACTGATTCATAACACAGATTGGTCAAATGGCTCCAATGACTCATGCCATCCTTCAGCTGTTGAGCTGTGAGCCAAAGCAAGCATATTTTAAGCACTCATTTATTTGGGGCATGCCAGAGTTAGTATGGGCTGGGCATGCACAAGGCGTGGACAAAAATGGAGAAACAACTGGAGGGTTTTAAATTGTATCATCATCACACTAACGATGGAAACAGAATGCAACTGAGAATTAACTCTGATGTTAATCTGAAATTTGATAACAGTACACTGCTCAGAAAAAATTAAAGAAGCATTTGATGGTCACAGTATAACAAAGTCAGTTCATCTTCAGGGTGTTTGATAAACCATGAATCCATTTTACATGCTTTGTACAAATGACAGTGACAACAGTGCACTGGAGAGGAAACAACATAACTACAGACAGGAATTGCCACCTTATCATGGTGGAGAGGTTTGTATGCCCTAGTTGTCCCAGGAACTATGCTGTCAGGGGCAATTTGCCCCTCAAGGCAAATCGTTCACGGGTGAGCAACCGGAACAAGTGAAATTTAACAGACTTCTTTGATGAAAAATTCAAAAATGGTCCAATGACCATATCTCAGTTACTATGGCTCCAACCTGGACTCAGGCTCAGGCAAGAGGCTTGTTGAGAGTCACCTCTGTAGTACATGGCCCCTGACCAGGCTTAGCCCAAAGGAGCCACATCGGGCAAGATCATCTGATGAAGGATCTGTGGTGGTCCAGTGTAATGTGGATAAAACGTAGAGGCCTTGATGGACCAATCCCCAGTTACTAGTTTGTGCTATACTGTGACGAGTGTCCCATTTTTAATAATGTATTTTATTATTATTATTATTATTCAGCAGTTTGCTTTATTGTTAAACATTGTGATAAGGAAAGAGTTATACTCTAAATGTACTGTGACATTATCTACAGTTTTTGATAACTAAGCTAGTTAGAGTCACTGCTTCCCCTTCCAGAAACTGCTCCAAAATGTAAAAGGCTAACTAGCAAATTTCACTGTTGTTGACACAAAAGCTTTCATTGTAATGTGAGTAAAAATCTATTTCATCATCTGTTTTGTGTTGTTTGTTGGTTAGGAGTATACAAGCTTAAGGCAAGTCAAAGTCTCTGGCTCAGGCTGGTTGTGTAAACACATAGTGAATGAAAAGAGGTCAGAAAGGAGAAATGCCCAGTGCATCGTGGGAAACTCCCAGCACAAACTAAGGGTGGATTCCAGTGGCAGCTAGATGAAATGTCTGTCTCAATGAAATTCAAGGTGGAGCTGGCATTGGCGCCGTGTGGGAGGAAAAGCTGATGATTTTAAGGGATCATGACTGATCCCTTAGGGGCCATAGACAACAGTAGTTTTACTTAGTTTTGTTTGAAATAATGATTAACCTATCACCATAAAATGTTTCCCTGACAGGGTACCTATAAGCCTTTTTGCTTCCTAGAATTGGTTTTGTTTGTTTGCAGCAACAAAGCGCAAAATCCAGTCAGCCTCTGAACTGTCTCCCCCCTTCTTTCCTTATTTCGTGATTTGGTTTTGTCCAGGTGGCAGCACTCTCGGCTGAGCGAAGAGTAAAGAGGGTAGGATGGTCCATTAACAAGAAAAGAGAAATTGAACTCATAGCGAAGTCATAGAAGAAACTGCTTGACTTTCCTAGTATTCCTAGTATAAATAAGATAGCTTATTTACTTCAGAAAAGTTAACATGTATTTTATTTGTTTTATTTTAATATCAAATAAAGTTATAGCTAAAAACATAAAAAATAAAAATAAAACGTGCTTGCACATCTCAGTCTTGCACAAAATCAAAAAACCCGAGCACAATATTGATCCATGATTGTGGATTTAACAGGGAACCAATGAAGAGAAGCCAGTATGGGAGAAATATGCTCTCTTTTTCTAGTCACTGTCAGTACTCTGCAGCATGTTGAATCAACTGAAGGCTTTTCAGGTAGTTTTTAGGATCACAGTTGGATACTTTGGATAAATTTGATACACAGACCAAAGTGTCATAACTCAGCATGTGATCATGAGGTTGGGAACTGACTTCTGTCACAAAAACAGGAAATACATGATAATTATAAGTCTTGTGAGACAGAACTTCAGTCTCTCACATGCTGTGAGGAGAGAGAGATTTTTACTGTAATTCCACTGGTTGAGTTGGCTAACTAAACTTTTTATTAGCTTCATTGTGTCTTTGTAGGTGATCTGAAACTATAGATCTGCACTATCAGTACAATTGCTAAAATCTTTTGCATTCTAAAGGGAAACTGTCCACAGTATTGCACTCCTATCCATATACTGGGGGAAACATTTTCAGAAATTCTTCCAAAATCCTGTTTCCATATTATTACATTTAGATTTCTGTCTCCTTCCATCCAATCATTTGCTACCACTTATCCATTTGAGCTGCAGTCTTAGACATGCCCAGATCTTCCTCATCCCAGCTACTTATTTAACCTTTTCCAATCATATAAAGCCATCTGAGTGATGAAACTTGCCAGCATTTCCTGGACCTGCCTCGAGGACCGCATACATGTGGGACATGTGCCGGAGGCATCCTGATCAGATTACGTTGCACATGCTTTTCATATGTTCTGTGATAATATTCTTGTGCTGATCACTTGTTTTGTATTAAGCTAATCTGTCATGGGTACGCCCTAAGCTTTTGGCTGAACCATTTTGCGTGTATTGCACGCACTATGCAATACATTATGCAGTTTTAGAATTTATATTCAATGTTTATTGTAGCTAGGCTCAAAGTGCTAATGCTAGCTTATTTTAATAAACAACACTGTATTT